AGGAAGGAAGGAAGGAAGGAAGGAAGGAAGGAAGGAAGGAAGGAAGGAAGGGCAAATGAACAGAGATAAGCAACAGAACATTAAAAGTGAGATTCATTGCATACAATGATGGTAGGGAAAGGAAACAAAAAAGATGGGACACAAAAGAAGTCCATGGAGAGGAACTATAGCGGGCAATCAAGGAAAGTGAAAATCAAACCTTGCTCCTGATGGCTTATCAAGGCCTGAAGTGCAATGGCAGCTTCCATTTTGACAGGCATTTCTTTGTCTTCAATCAAGCTCTTTTTTATCAGTTCAATGGCATTCTTTAGATTGAGCTCATTGTGAAATTTTAAGGCGCTGAATGAACGAAGGGTCCAACAGGACTGTGGCGCAAGAAAAAAGCAAATCAGACGCTATTCAAGATCAGATACTCTTAAAGAGAAATCATTTGCACGTTAACAGTTCTGAGTTTACTATATTTTATCATTTTCAAGGCAGTCCTTGCTACAACACAATTGTTCACGCACCCCAAAAGAATTCATAATGAAGCAGCATTGAAACTAGAGGTGGAGATTCAAAGAAATCTTTCTTTGTGCTCAAGGCTTTTCTATACTATCCTTCACCTTCTGTATGTAATTTAGAGGAAATATGAGAGACTGTGATAGAAATGAAGGACTGGAATTACCTATTATGATTTTCTAGGTAACAACAAATAAGATAACTCCAACTGTATAAAATAGGATGATATATGAAACAGCAACCAAGATACCATCTCATGTGGCATTCTGGGAATCAGCCTATTAAAATGTATAAATATAGAATAATCTTTGTCCCAATCTTAAAAAAACTTATGCAGAGTTCTGCTTCTCAATAATTATGTTAAAGGTAATTTTTGTCCCAGTATGCCGGTCTTCCAATCAAGCTTTATAGCTTCAGCATGAGAATGAGTAAGATGAAGGTGTATTCTGCTAAACATATTATTAGCTCTCTTTACAAAAACCTATTTATCCCCAGGCACAAGCAGGTAAACCCAAACCATCATGGAAAAAGGCGTATGTTCGATTCACTTACTCTTGCTCTTAAATATCCAAGATTTGACATAAATAATGGAAAGACATGATTCTGCAGCATCAACTCCATTTGGTCCTTGAACATGCTTTTCTATGAGGGGTAATAATTGACAGAAAAAAGAAGCACCTTTGTCTCCATTTTCACACACAATAATTCTCATGTAATTCTTAAAACAGTTACAATGGCTTTAAAATAATTTTTAGAAAACATCCTGATATCGGCAAAAGAAAAAGCTAGATGCCAAAACACAAAATTGAAACTGTTCAACTAAAAGGACTTAAAATATCATACTACTTGGGTTGTCTAACAAAATGCAGTGACAATGTTTGTTACTGTAATTAGCCCAGCCAAGGGAGCCTGAACAGGAGTAATCTAATTGACTGAACAGATGGACAGAAGCCAACATGGAATTAGTACTTGTAAAGCATGTGGCTTTGCCATGACCAATTATTAAGAATTCTATAAGGGTATTGTCGTGCCCCAGCATATAACATACTGTTGTTGCTCTCTAGCCCCATCTAGTGGTCGGAGAGACAAATACCAAGTATATTGTTTGAAGCTGAGCCCACTCCATTACCCATCAGCCTGCACTCTCGAAACAAGTGCATGCTGTGAAGCCAGACTCCATTTCCTTTAGCATTTGGAGAAGGCAGAAGCACAAAGAAGAATCTATCTTAATCCATGGTACATGGTCAACCGAGGACAAACCCATATCCCACATACAAAGCATCACTGGTGAGATTTAGATTGCTTGTATTTATTAATTGGTTAAGTTTAAAAGTAACCCAATGCTATCATGTATTTGATTCTCATTGTATGTATCCCTATTTTCCCCAGTTTTACCATATCCTGTTCTTTCAATAAAGCATTAAGATCTACGCACACGGTCTGTGTTATTGGAGGATAAGTGGGTTTAGCTGCATGTCGAGATGCTCACAGATTATCATGTAGTGAGGACAGAACAGATATGCAATCACAGCATAACCCAAAGCGGAATTCCTAATATAACAATTAGCTTGAGGAGATTTCCAATGTTGCATGGCTTCAGCACCTGCCATGCAGATTATGAACTAAATATATAAGAAGCCCTTTAAAATGTCAAGGTACAGACATGGACATTAACTATCAGCACTGATTCCTCTGGCAGGAGGTTGGGGAATACAGAAATGAACTCAGTCCATTAAAAAAACATATCATAGCAGGGAACAGAATGCTTTGCTTAACCAGTGGACAAACTCAACCTGCAATTTTTAGAGGTTACAAAGCATCACTAAAACTCACTCCCCCCCACCTTTTTTTTTGGTTAAGTCCTAGAAGTTAATGAATAGGCTCAGTTCATACCCAGCCTGACAACTACAGAATCAGAATCACTTCTGAAAGCTTTTAAATCAAGGACAGCTGGACTCTTTCATAAGGTTTTTTTTTAAGTATCACAAATCCCGGGTGTCAAGTCTTCAGAGATAAGACCATTATGCATTTCTCATAAGATCATTGTTTACCTTCAGCAAAATGTCTGCTAGTGATCCAATTACATGTAATGCCCCGTCTTTCTTTCTAGGGTCAATGTTGGGCTCAGTGAGAATCTGATAACAAAATGCCATCATTTTTGGTAACACCTAAACAAACAGCACACAAACAAACAAAAAATAAAGAAATGAAACTTCAAGCAAATTCATTAGGAAAGTCACCAACATTAAAATCAGTTTAAATTACTGTAGATTATTTTAGTAAAACACATTGTGCAGTATATATTTTAATTTATAGCCTGAAATTTTGAAAGCTAGGTACTTTTTCCAGGATAAAAAAATTATAAATTCTAGAATTGCCTTGGGGTCAAATAAACTGACAATCGTCTTAGATGTGATTTTTTTATATTTAAACAAAACAGTCAAGAGAATTTAGCAGAGTCCAAGGGAAATCTATTAATATATCAATATTGGAGTGGAAACACCACTGTCTTCTGTAGGAGTACAAAATGCTCCAGATATTTTCCTTGTTATACTACCTTAATAAATTAAAAGAAGAAGCAACTAATAAAACTGTACTGGATCTGATGGCAATTGAAATGTGAGCCTGTACTCTGATATCAACACAAAAATAAAAATCCTAGAAGATCTTATTTAAGCCAATCCTATTCCTTACCTTAAAATAACTTAGTTACATACGAAGATAGCATTGCAATTGTAGGAATGGTACAAGCTATATACTCAAGCTCAGAGGTCCTGAAGATAAATCTATATTTAATACATTTTTAACAATTGGAAGGATATGGATATAAATGTTACAGCTGCTGTTAAAGAGACAGACAAATACTACTTGACCATTTAAAAAGCCATCGTATTTTGACAAAATTATGAGACGTACTTCTTTTCGTTTTTTCGCCGCAGTGTACAGAAGAATCTGGGCTGCTATTGTAGGGGATGCATAATCCTCAAACACATCTTGAAAAATTTGAAAAAGGATGTTACTACACAACCATTGACAATTTAACAAATTATTATGAATGCGACAGAACATGGACAAGCTAGCAATTGGTTTTTCTGGATGCTCTTTTTTGCTTTAGTTTACAAAGAAAAAGAAAATAAAGGGGATAAAAAGAAAAATCAACAAAAGAAACATAAAGAACAAAGCACACAAAATGAAATAAGTTTTAAAAGGCCAAAAATCTCCATTACATTTTTAGACCTATTATTAAATGCATGGAATAAACATTGATCAGCTTTTCTTCAGCCTCAATAAACAGCCAATTCATAAACAGAAACAAATTTATATCAATACTACAAATGGTAAATCTGGAAATTGGTCCTTACATCGTTGAAAAATAAGACTTTCTTCTACCTCCACACTCAATAAATCAATTAATTCTTAATATAGTGATGAAGACCTACATTTTTATATTCGAAATTGGAATGAAGTGAGAAAATAGCCATGTGCAAACAGTGTGTTAACAGAAAATAGTTCTTGAACTCTTGTTCAAGAAATCTGATGTTAAATAAGATATGTTGGAATCAATTAACCACAATAAAGTTTGATGTTTTCCCCAAGCTTTTAGTAGATTACCTCAAATTTCATAAAAGAAGTCTAAATCCTGACCAGCATTGGTCTCACTGCCAAAGCCATTTTTCTACACGTCAACGAAATACTTTACTATTTCATTTTTCATCACCTATCCATGGCATAATCTTCAACTGAAATAAACACGTTTATCATTATAATATTGTAATCATTATTGGGGATGAACTGCTCCCAACCGATGTCTTAACTTTTTACTGCATCCTTAATTTGCTTCTGCCAACTTTCTTTTCCACTTTTTAGACACTTTCCTCTACAATCATGGTTCATAAAGGTTATGGAAAACGGAAGCTTAGGAGTGGGGTGGACTGTGTAAGCTATCAGATATACAGGCATTCTGCAGTACAGTGTAGTATGCCCTCCAGTTTTGTGTAAATCTAAATGCACAGCAATGTGTATTGTCACCAGGCATTTTCCAGGAGCAGATACCAGTGACAACTGGCAAATAAAAATTACCAATTAAATTACCAAATTTAATGCGGATGTATTCATATGGGTCCTCCTGCCAGAGTTCTTCATCCTCATCTTTATAACACATCAGAGAAAAGATGACATCTTCACACAATGTCTAATAAGCAAAGCAAAGAGGAAATCAAATGTAATTGAATATGTTTGCTATCCAACCATTATTTTTGATCTATTTTATTTTCTTCACAGCAAGAACTCTATGAGATGGGTTAAGCCAAGAGACCCAAAGTCACCCAGACAGTTTCCATGCTTAAGGGAAATGATGTCCTCCCGATTTCTAGCCCAGTCTTAGTCTTAGCCATTACAACAAACTGATGCTCATTTACTATATCTTAATAGTTAATAATCACATGGTTGGTCATTCTAAAGAAAACCCTTCTTCATAAAGCTGTAATATATCATGTGGAGATTCTCTTAAAGCCAGGAATATATTCCCTGGTTCAGAGTATCTTTGCTTAAGTATTATCCACCTTTTGTTTGTTTGTATTCCAACTTTATTATTTTTACAAATAACTCAAGGCCGTGACCTATCCAACATACCTTTCACCTCTTATTTTCCCCATAAAATCTTGTGAGACGGGTTGAACTGAAAGAGAGTGACTGGCCCAAAGTCACCCAGCTGGCTTTCATGGCTAAGATTCATCTCTTCTGCTTTTTTAGTCTGGTGCCTTAACCACTAGATCAAACTGATGGGCTCAAGGCTGACTCGGCCTTCCATTCTTCCAAGGTCAGTAAAATGAGGATGCAGATTGTTGGGGGCAATAGGCTGACTCTGTAAAGCGCTTAGACAGGACTGTAAAGCACCATGAAACGGTATATAAGTCTAAATGCTAGTGCTAGTGCTAAACTAACTCTCGCATCAATTATTTTCTCTCTAGCTGAGATATAATTAAAGGCTACTTGTTCACTCAGACTGATCATGGTTATATCTGTTCATTCCCCAAAAAGCTGGGCCCAAGCCAAAGGTCTGAAAGGTGAGTTGCATCAAACGCTTTGTGTTTTACTTATGGGAAAATAAAGTGCAGGCTATGCAGCCTTCAATTTTGCCCAGGTACATGATAGGGTCCTTGAGAAAAAAGAAAACACTATATTGAATGAGAAACGATAGAATCTCTTGTCTGCCAGAAAGAAATCTAAGGATTATCATTCTTGTTGGAGAACTCTTAACAGAGAGGAAGGAAAAAAAAGCTAATTTAAAACATATCAATTTCCATTGCTAATAAAAAAAATAAAATAGTAATCTCATTATTCACAATAAGCCCAAAAGGTCTTTTATGCTTTAAATATTATATTGTAAATGCCTAATTCATCATTTATTCTCATTTTGCACTTACAAATCGAGACTTAAAAGAGAATCCCTGGCAACCCAAAAATAACACTTTCTTCCCAGAAAAAGGTTTCTAAAATTATGTATGCAGAGAAATATCATCTGTAAAGGATTTTAGGAAAGAGACAACATTAAGAATGAAAATACTAAGGCCATGCAGCACTCTGGAGCTGCACAAAACATACTGTGGAGCCTCTCTCTGCATCTCCTTAAAGCAACTGCTTCTTTTCCTAAAATTGTAGGCCCACCTTATGCTCTATAACAGGGGTCCCCAAACTTGGCAACTTTAAGACTTGTGGACTTCAACTCCCAGAATTCTCCAGTCAGCATAGCTTAAAGTTGCCAAGTTTGGAGACCTCTGCTCTATAACTACACAATAAAAACTCAGGATTCAGGAATTAGTACTTTAGGACGTCAGATGAATCTTTACATTAGATGGAGGAGTTTTAAGAGATGATGGTAATTGTTACATCCCACTCCATCTTTCCTTCCACAATAGATCCTTCATACAAGGATGTTCTATTCTCTACCCATTTAGAAACTGATTTGGAAGGCTAAAGCCAAGTTGACTACCCACCTTGGCACATTGTGACTGAAAGTGCAATAATAGTCCTAGCATAATTTGTACTATTTGTGGGAATTTGCATTGCAATGAATCATATCACACCTTTTACATAAGGACGTGGGGGCGGTGGGATACATGGCAACAAAAGAAAAGATTCACTTGGTAACGGCCTTACATTTGATGCAATATCTTGTAGGTTAAACATGACTATTTCTGGAAGCTGATCTTACAGGCACTGTGTAAGATAGAAATACAGGCAAATGAAACAACTGTGTAATTAACTGATGATCCAAGCCGTGGTGGCGCAGTGGTTGGAATGCAGTATTGCAGGCTAACTCTGCCTACTGCCAAGAGTTCAATCCTGATCCTGCTCAAGATTGACTCAACCTTCCATCCTTCTGAGGTCGGTAAAATGAGGACCCAGATTGTTGGGGGCAATATGCTATCCTTGTTCCTGTTCCTGTGTTGCCATTACAGTTATAACTTGCTCAATTGTTACCGCTATTTCAAAATTATCATAAAAGTTCTAACTCATGTTTTCAGAGTTTACCCACAGACATAAATTGCTACTCTTGTACTGACCTGCATATGGGGTTTCATCTGCTTCCAGGTTATACAGTGATAGACTCCCTGCTTCAGATAGTTTAACGTTTGTTGAAGGACACGTGGAGCTACATAGACATTCTGCCTGTATTGTTCCAAGATTTTTAGGAGTACCTGAAGGCATTGTAACATAATTATATACAATCAGAACTCAACATTGACCCATCATGTTTGAAGTACTGAAAAAAAAAATCTGCACAACCATTTTAAGCAAAGGATAAAAGCTAGTATATTTCTCACATCCTAGATGATGTTTTAATTTTAGCTAACCAATTGATACGACAGAGAAAGATCTGACTAAAAAAGTAAAGCTAGCAATCACATTTCCATAGAAAATTTACCCTGGACATTCCTAGACTCCTAAGAATGGTGTTGATCCATTAACGATTTCCTGAATGAAAATGATGAAAATGAAATCCTTTAAAGAAGATTCCTGTAGTAATATACAGCCTATTCATTACGATCATTAGCTGGAAACTGCAGGCCAAATCCAGTCCTCCAGTTGACTAAATGATAACTCAGAGATGAGAGGTACAAGCATTGCTTCCGGCAATTGAACTTTCTGATTAAGTGAAGTGTCAGTAAAATTAGGGGCTTTTAATGGGTTGTAAATACTAAAATTTAGGTTGTTTCAACTAAGAGAACACAAGCCACCTCATTATTTATAATAACTTATAAACAGCTTTACAGGATATGTTCAATCATCTTCCATTACCCTCTTATCCAAGGCTTATCCAAGTGGTGTAATCACCACTCTTTTACCTAACAATGTCTTCACTGCAGAGGTGGTATTCAGCAGGTTCTGACCAGTTCTGGAGAAACAGTAGCGGAAATTTTGAGGAGTTTGGAGAACTGGCAAATACCACCTTTGACTGGAGATTTTACAGTATCCTTCCCCTGCCACATCCATCAAGCCACGACCATAGAACCAGTAGTCAAAAAAATTGAATCCCACCACTGCTTCACTGGATGCTACAAAAGGGCAAGTTAAAATGCTTGCTATCATATTTCCATGTTATTTCACTAAATAAGATGAGCCTTTACCTGCTGGATTCCCGCAGCATAGGTTTTCAAGAAGAATTTAGAAAATTCCACATATTCTTTTGTAACATTTCCAGGACTACCATACCTTTAAAAATGTAAAAGCAAAAGAACATAAATATATTACTTTGTAGAAAGATACTAAAGTATACCTCATTATCATTAAGCTTCCCATTAAGTTTTACTCATGCAACTTAAAGGCAATCTTTATGGTAAAAGGAATGCACAAATTTCATTAAAATTGCCACATTTTTATAGCTGATAGAAAAAAAATTTTGGGGGAAGATTTGCTGATACTTGAACTTGGGGCAATTTTTTAAAAACAGTTACAATTTGGAAACATTATAAACATGCCAAAATAGGATTTAGTAATGTCATTCTTTGTTATTAGCATAATAACCTTTCAAAAAGACGAGCAACAATCCGAAAAGCCCACTTCTTACATTTCCACCACACCAATTCTGGACGATCATCTTCATCAACCTGCAGAGTTTCCTAATCAAAGGAAAGAACTATCAGCCATCAATAGCCATGGGAGAGCAGTTAACATTAATGAAGCATGATAAGAAGAATCTACAGCCTTCATAGCCTCAAGACACAATTTAGTAATTGCAATAGCATTTAAATACCTAAGTAGTGTGGTGGCCTAGAGTTGGAGCTCTCGCCTCATAATCAGGAGGCTGTGGGTTCAATCCTAGACAGAGGCAGATATTTCTCTCTGGGCACAATGAGAATATATCTGCTAAATAAAATTCCGCATTGGTGACAGGAAGGGAATCCGGCCAGTAAACACTCAGCTCCATTCAGTTGCCCAGACTCTACCGCATAAAGGAATATGGGGTCATTAAAAGGAGATGATGAACAGCATTTAGATACTGCTTCATAGTGTTTAACAGCACTCTCTAAACAGTTTACAAAGTCAGCATATTGCGCCCCCCCCCCAAAAAATATGGGTCCTTATTTTACCAATCTCAGAAGGATGGAAGGCTGAGTCAACCTTGAGAGGGTCAGGATCGAACTCCTGGCAATGGAACGCAGAGTTGGCCTACAATACTGCATACAAACCACTGCACCATCACAGCTCTTAGAAAGCAGCTCTTAGAAAGAGATCTTCAAATTGTTGTTCTGACAATGGCCTACTGTTAACAGGATCTTATCTTAGCATGTTCTCAAGGAGGCATGCCATTCATATAAAGTGATCCACAGGTTTTAAACTCAGTATGTCAGGAGAGAGTTGCAGGAAGTCCAGAGTTGCAGGAAGCCATCCTGTGCTACAGTGATATTCCCGAAGGCATGGAGTCAAAATGGAGGGGGGCTTGGTTTTTGAGTGTTTAGGATTGGTAGACCAGCTGCTCACACACCCACTCTCAATACTCCAAGCCCATCCCAAAACTAGTCCAAAGCAAGATAACAATTAGCCATTTTGTTGCCATATTTCAGCAGCACAATTTGGAGATGGGAGTTGTAACAGGCTTATGGGTTGCCCACCTCTATTTTCAACCAATAAAATAAGCTCTCATATGGATAATGTAACCATTATATTCCCATCTACCACCAGCAGGCACCTGCTCCCAGCATGGGAGCCAGAGGTCAAAGAGAAAAGTAGACCTGCATGATCCAGGCACTGCAGTGTTTAATAACCTTAGAACGTACCAATTTAGCATGTAACATACCTAGTTTCGAAATGCTTTGCTTTTCGTACATGATATTCTTGCTGAGCGAAAAGCAAGGGAGTGTGAGCAATGGCTCCACTTCCTCTTTACATCTTCTTTTAAAGTACAAGAACATGGCAAAAGCAGAACATGCCCTCCATATAGTTGGATAAAAATGTTCCTCAACCTAAGCTTCCCTTTTTGCCAATGTGCTCAAAGTATATTAAAGTTGTCCAGTAATGTAAACCTTACAGGAGGCACACTTCTGTCAATGACAGTCCGGAAAATCTCCATCCACTGAGTCATCGTTTGGTTATTCACCAGCTGAAGTGGCAAAGCGTACTGAAGTTAAAAGAGGAGGAAAAAGATAATATCAATATTGTTGAATGCCTAAAATATACACTCCCTGACTGTATATCAGAAAATAAACAGACAGTTTAGACAATGTATTAACAGGAAGCTGCAATACTATTTTTTTTTAACCTCCAGTGACCATGGACTATTTCTTTGTTGTCTTTGAAACCTATGTACTATGATAGCCAGCTAGTTAGCCATTGGAAGCTGCCAGTTATCATTTGCTTTTTGTTATGACACTGAGCTAATAGTTACACATAATCAGCAACAAGGGGATAAAAAAGACAGGATTGCTATTGTGGATTAAACCTTCCACCCCAGAACATTCTTTTGCTTTCAGTTAATTACAGCAGGAGCTCCTCTCTTACTGAATGCCCACCAAATGTAGGAGAATCAGACCTAATATCGACAAAGCATTTAAAATGCAAGTTTAAAATGTGTGTTTGCGAACTGAGGCAAGGATGAAAAAAATGTACCTTCATCTAATCAATTATTATTATGATTAGTTGCACTGTCAGCCAGAAGCACATGGAATATTGGAATCATTTTTTGATACAATAGCCATCAATTTACATCAGTTTGTTTAGTGACCATATGCGTTGAACAGCACTGAAAAAAGGTTTTTCAGACTTATAATCATTGAAGCACTCCATGGTCATGTGATCAAAGTTCAGATGCTTGCCAACTGATTTATTCTTATGATAGTTGCAGGGTGGTGGGGTCATGTCATCCCCTTTTCAAAAAAGTCACCAAAAAAGCACAAGAAAGAATGTTTTTTCTGCACCAACTGAGAAAGCTCAGACTGTCCAAGGAGCTGCTGATACAGTTCTACAGAGGAATTATTGAGTCTATCATCTGCACCTCTATAACTAGCTGGTTTGGCTCTGCACCCCTACAACACAGACAGAGACTTCAGAGGATAATTAGGACTTCAGAAAAAAACAATTAGTATCAACCTGCCTTCCATCGAGGATCTGTATACTGCACAAGTCAAAAAGAGGGCTGTGAAAATATTTACAGACCCCTCACATCCTGGACATAAACTATTTCGACTCCTACCCTCAAAACGACGCTATAGAGCACTGCACACCAGAACAACTAGACACAAGGATAGTTTTTTCCCAAACGCCATCACTCTGCTAAACAAATAATTCCCTCAACACTGTCCAACTATTTACAAAGTCTGCATTACCATTACTATTAATCTTCTCATCACTCCTTATCGCCCATCCCCTCCCACTTGTGACTGTATGACTGTAACTTTTTCGTTTGTATCCTTATGATTTATGTTGACTGTTTCCTAGTATGATTTGATTGCTTATTGTACCCTATGACTATTATTAAGTGTTGTGTCTGATGATTCTTGACTCATGACAAAATGTATCTTTTCTTTTATGTACACTGAAAGCATTTGCACCAAGACAAATTCCTTGTGTGTCCAATCACACTTGGCCAATAAAGAATTCTATTTGTGACCTTCCGACAAGCAAAATCAGTGGGGAAGCCAGATTCATTTAACACCCATGTTACTAAATTCGGTAATTCACTAACAAATGTGCAAGAATGTTCATAAAATGGGGCGAAACTCATTTAACAAATGGGCCGCTCAGCAACAGAAATGTTGGGCCATAAGCCAAGGACCACCTGTAGCTTTGCTTACTATTTTATTATTATTATTGTTAGCTGCTCCAAGTCATGTGTATGACATGGGAGCATGTATACGTTGAACAAGTATTAATAACAAAACAAGCCTATCTCCAGGAAGCCCATGAAAACTTTCTACAACAATTGTATGCAATCTGCTGCCTCTGATTTGCACAAAATTTCTCCTTTATTAAAAACAGCAATATGGCATCTCTGTAACCTATTCCCATTCTTCCCATTCTGTTCCAAAGCAAACCCTAATTGTATAGTTCTTACATCTTTTCTTGGGTGCACATATCAGGACTAAAAAAGCATTAATTTCCAAACAAGAAGGAAGTTCTGCAGGTTATAGCAAGAAAAATCTTTTCCTTAGTAGAAACTACTAGCAAATATCACTCAAGAGAACCCCCCTTTCCTTCTGATGGAAAAAACTGCTTTGAGGACAAAATTCAATGTAAAAAGTAAAGAAATGTTTGTAAGAGAGCCAATTCAGTGTAATGGTGAAGGTGCTGGTCTGGGAATCAGGAGTTTTAGTCCTGCCTTAGCCATGAAAGCCAGCTGGGTGTTTTTGAGCCAGTCACTCTCTCTCAGATCAATCCACCTCATAGGGTTGTTGTTGTAAGGTAAAAGAGGAGGAGGAAGGTGTACTAGGCATGTTCACTGCCCTGAATTATTTAAAGCACGATAAAAATCTAACAAGTAAATAAATAAGATACAGTCTCATTACCACATTTTTTTAATCAAATGCTGTACACCTAAAAATTAAACATGCAGGTCTGAAAGTAGCTGCTCTGAGATCAATAAATGCATACTTCAAAATATGCATTTGTGGGTCACAATTCTAAAAAGGGGTTGCTGGGGTTTTTCTGGAATTCTTCATACCGTTACTGTTTTCAGTATAAAGGTTCATACCTGAACAAGTGCATAGAAAATTTTTAAGATCTGTTTCTGAAGGAGCACAGAATAATGGGAGTTGTCAGGAAGAAGCTGGATCATCTGTTGCTGAATTCGAGGCAAGAATATTTGCATTGCAGCAATGAGAGGATCTCGTTCCTCGGCTTTCTTATATCTATTGAAGGAATCAGAGCCAAACACATTTCAGGAGTAAAGCTTACTCTTGTTGCGTTTTGCTTCGTTTTGATTGTTTTAAAAAAATAAACCTGGTGCCTGTTGTAATCCTTCTCTCATCTCCGCAGGACAATACAAGAAATCCAAATAAAGCAGAAAGGAGAAGCTATTTTAATTTTCCTAGTGCAGCACACTAGAGTTAATTTTAACCATTTTTTTTAGCATCCCAGATCAGTAGCATTTTGGAACATAGCCTCCTAGTCAATAAAATGGTATGAGATTGCATGCCATTTTGTGCAACTTTTACAACTGAGTCACCCATTTCACTTGATTTCTCATTGTTTGGGTGATCAAACTTTCCCAGATTTACCTGGAGAAAATCCATTGTAGGTAGAAAGGGGAAAGTTTGTGTTTCCAAGAATTAGATTCTCATTTTACTTTACACTTTATTTTACTTTCTCTGAGGAATTTTCCCCAACTCAAATGCTTTCCTCTATATCAGGGGTCGCCAACCTTTTGGACCTCAGGGACCACCAAACTCATAATTTTAGATCCCAGGGACCACTAACCGGTTTTGTGGGCATGGCCTAATTTGTGGGTGTGGCTTAGTGGTCATGTGACTGGCTAGGCATGGCTTGTATGTAAAAATTTATATAAATATTGATTTTTTTATTAAAAAAGAGCAACTTTTACCCAAAATCAGGCAAAGCAGGCAGGCAGATTGAGTTGCTCACAGAATCACAGATCCATTCAGAGATCTATCTGCCATTGGCTAGCTCAGTCTGTCACATAAAATTTGCTTGCAAGCAAACTCACAAAATTAACTCACAACACACCATGCATGTAAATATTGAATTTTGTATTTAAAAAAAGAGCAACTTTTACCCAAAATCAGGCAAAGCAGGCAGATTGAGTTGCTCACAGAATCATTCAGTGATCTATCTATCTGCCATCAGCTAGCTCAGTCTCCCAAATTTGCTTGCTGTGAGTCTGCATTGAATTTACTTGCAAGCAAACCTTCAGTCCTAAGGGAGGTTCGGCTGTGCTGTGTCCAACCATTTCCTGCTTCCTAGCTAATCTAAATCTCCCATCACAGCAGAACAGATGATGGTCGGAAAAAGGAAAAATAGATATTTAGCAGGCAAATTTACCGGATAAGGAGTGGGCAGGGAGGGTTCCCGCAGGCCATGTGGGTGGTGCAGCCTTGTGTTTCTGTGCAGTCTGGATTAATTGCTTTGTGGGGGTACTCTGGGGGTGAGATTTCTCTGCGGCCCACCAAAATTTTCTCACGGCCCACCAGTGGGCCACAGCCCACCGGTTGGCGACCGCTGCTCTATATGAACAACACCCTCCAGTCTCCACCTATATATCTTTGCAGAATTAGAAAGCTAGTGTTGCAAGAAACCAGGAAGATGCACTCATGAACTAAGAGGTTATTTCTAGACTGCTAGGAAAGGCAGCTGGTCCTTGGGGAAGATCCACTTACTCATAGGTTTTTACCAATTGGTACAGGCACAGGAGGCTTCCAAGCCAGCTTCCGCTATTGGACGACTGTAGGTAAAACCCAATCTTGTCCACCACTGCTGTCCAGTGACCTGGGAAGTCATGCTTAATAATAGCACGAAGGCACATTGTCAACTGGGCTCTGGGGGAAAAAAAAAGACCGAGAAAGGATGGAGTAAAGGAAAAAACAGAAAGAGGGACAGATAAAGAACCTACTTCATCAACTCCTGAATTACAGTGTACCAGAAACAATGCATGCATTTTTTTGTCTAATAACAGCTATCATCAAATTCTTCTGAAAAAAAAATAAATATCAAAATGTTTTTAAAGTGGTGGTCCCCAACCTTTTCAGCCTTGTGGACTGGGTGGGGGGGGGAGGGAGAGAGGGGGAATGGTTCTGAGTGAGCAGCGGACAAGCATGACACAGCTCCATTTGTGTGAGCAGCGGGCATACACACCCACAGGGGTGGGTTTCTATCGGTTCTGTCCACTCTGTAGAGCCAGTAGCTCTGAAGAGCAGCAGACATAGAACTGGGCCCCCACCCACCCGGGCTCTTACCTAACCTTTATTTCCTGATTTTTCAACTTCAGCTGCCGAACAAGGCACAGCCGCAGTTAAAAAAGCAGGAAAAGAGGCTATTTCAAAGACTGCTTCTCTGCACGCAGCGTGCTGACGACGATTTACAGGCGCAGCTTGCAGCGTGCAGGGAAGCTCATCATAAATCACTGAACCTCGTAAATCACCGAACCGATAGTTAACCCTGTCTTATCCCACTCCTGCACACCCACCACTTGCGCAAATGGAGTTTCACACACCTGCCGCTTCTGTGGCCTGGTTCCAAATGGGCCCCAGCCCGGAAATTGGGGAACTGTTTTTAAGGATAGCCCCCCCAAAAAAAGTTCAACATGGGATGTAATTGTTGAGAAAGGATCACTCCTTTTCTTCTCTCTGCTCCCATACTTATTAAATAACAAATAATATATTCAAATTATTATTCACCAGACACAAAAGTCAAAATGTACAATTATAAATGGCTCTGGAAATAATGACAGTAAGATTTCCCAGCTTTCAGACAATATTCTCATGTAGACAATCCAGAAAGAGATAAACTTTTCCAAACCCAGGATACTCTGTGCTTGAAACTGAAGGTTTCACATATAGGCTGGATAATTATCTATTGGGGATGGTGTAATGAATCCTGCAGGATGCATGCGGTTGGAATAGATGACCTCTTTGTTATTTCCAACTCTGATTTTATGATATGGATTGGATATATGATTCTGAAGTCTTAAAGTATTTCCTGCGGAATTATTTGCAGTATTTTGAATAATAAAGTACTTTAAATTTCTACTCTCCTAACTTTATCAGGAAAACAATTTTGCCCTCATGTCATAAAAGATTTGAGGCATATTTTAAGAACTATAATTATATTCTTCCTTTTTTTCTATTCCAGCAGTTCTCTACTTAGACTTCTACAGTACTTGTTATAATGTCATGCCCTTGTTAGTCTCTGATTCTGAGGGGGCGATTGAGCGGCTTACAGGGAGTGGGTGTGTGGATCCGGTGGCTGTGGAAGAAATGGGGGAAGGGCACAGTCCGGCTGGGCTTACGGGAGAGGAAAGGCCCCTGATCCCCTTCATGGGCTGCGGCTGGGAAGAATGTTTAAAAGGGCAAACTGCACATGGCAAAATTGCTGGAAGCAAAGCATGCATCATCTTTGTTGAGGCTTATCTGGGTTTGGCATCCTCCCAACTGTGGGTGCTGCATTATCTTTTGGAAGTCTGCAATTTATCATGCTGGCCTATCATGTTAATTACTTCAGGTTTGTGTTTTTTTTAAAAAAATTCTAATTATCTTTACTTTGGATTCGGACTGCATTTCTTCCCTTCGTAGAGTGTTTTTGGAAGAGTTTGATCTCCAGCCGAGGATAACTGGACATTGGGGGCCAAGTTGGAGGCATTAAAGGGAATTTATCTACTTTCGTGACGTTATTTTTGTGCCCTGCCCCAGGTCATCACATAATCATCTCATTTAGAAAAAGTTCTGGAATATGTTTCCACATAAGAATGATTTCAGAAGTGATTATTTGGCTGATTATATGGTTTTATAATCTGATACCCCTTCAAAATACTTTTTTTCAAAGCAACACTATGCTGAATAAACATCTATTCAAGTTATTTAAACCTGCTCAATTCATTCTAAGAAGCATCTGTTTTCCTTGATATAAAATCCAGGGCTTTCTGGGGCCTGTCCCAGCATGAACCTCGACATACCTCACTAAGTCTGGAGAACGAATAATTCCTTCTACAATATTATCCCGAATCTGCTGACGATCATTTTCGTGAATATTGAATGGAAAGATCACCTCTCCTGGCGGGGGCTCTCGGTCTGGCCAGTATTGTGTCACCATGTTTTTCAAGTAAATAGCAGCTATATTTAAAGAATGAGGGAAAGGAGGGGAGAGAAGGAGAGAGAGAGAGAGACAGAGAGAGAGAGAGAGAGAGATGCATAAAAAGGGCTGTTGATAAATCTAGCTTTAAACAAGAGTTAGGACCAGTGAGAGTTAGTGATGTAAGAAGAGTAACAATTCAAGACCAATGGCATGCAAGAAACCAAGAACTTAAATCCTGGTAGTGAAATTCCTAAAAACATAGATGCCATTTAGAAAGAGATAAACCCATACATAAAGTATAGATCTACCAGTAGCAATAATAATCAAGAGTGGCCATTTCCGTTTTCAGAAAATTCATATCCCTAAAATGGGCTTTCTTTGTGAAACTGGATTGAGGTATCCCTTGAGATCAAGATGGCTCCCATACTGTTGGCCTTCCAGAAGGCCATAAATACCCTATAAAACAACCTATAACGTTGCTTTCCCAGACCCTGGACCCTGTTGGATGTTAGATATTGGTAGAATGTTCTGGGGTTTCTACAGGGTTCACCATCTTGTTCTTTTTCACCCCCACTTTTCTTATTTATATAGTTATAGTTATAGTTATTTGGTACATTGTAAATAGCCTGAAGTCATTTGAAGTGAGGCAGCATAAACTGAAATAGATAAGATACACTTTTTTAAAGTATACTTTCAATCTGTTTGCTAACCATTCAGTTCTAAACATAATAAATAGGAGGCAAGCTGCAGAACTTCACCTACCTGCTTGCCTGACTGGGAATTCCACTTGATCAGAAACAATGATTTGTAGCAGACTAGGAGCAAAGTTTATTATCTTGTAGGACTGAAAGGGATATAAAAGGTTAATCAGCATAGTGTAGATAGCAGTTAAGGACTCTTAGATACTTCAGTTATTAACAGAGAATTAAGCATCACTCCCCTATTGAAAAATAATTGAGTTAGATTCAACAAAGACTGTGTGGTTTTAAGATTAAGAAGCAATTCTACTATCTTTTGCTGTGGAGGTCTCCAAAGCAGGTCAGGGATTTAATATCTAATCTGTTAATAACCGCAACACTTTTAATACTAAAACATTCACCTGATATTGTCTCTTTTCATCTTATATAACAGGAATCAACAATCCAACCCTATATGTAGCCTTCACACATTGCAAGGTAATGCCAAATTCAGCAGCAGAATGGTTTAATGGGTGAGGCACATGGCTGGTATGCTGGTTCATTAATAAAGAAAGGAGCAAAAGAGGGAGGCTACCAGAAAAGCAAACTATTACAATTCCCACCCTTAAAATTCCCACTGACTACCCCATTTCCAATCCAATTTTGTCTCATTTTTAAGGATGGGGTTGGGAACAGTTCTTCTGCAAAGTTGGACACAGAGCTCCATGCAGAGCCGCTTCACTTTGTCGGCTGGCCTACCAGATGTGCTTTCTACAACCAGGTGCAGATAATCTGGGAAGCCACAGGAAAAAAAAAAAAAAACTACATTGAGCCAAATGCATTTTGCAAAGTCCCTCTTTGAAAGTTCTGCTCTGATAGTCACAAGAAGCCACTTTTGGAATACATGTAACCGTAGAGAGGGGAAGAGGGAGTCATAAACTTAAAACTGCTACGGATTTAAAAGTGTGTGTGTCTTCATTGATTAACTTTAGATAGCATGTAATTATGCATGTGTAATGGTTAACGTGAAACTCTGTGCTGACCATGTATTCAGATCCTAAGCCCCTGGAGGAGATCTTGGCTCAAAAACATTAAACAAAAATTCTGGATTGCCACTGTTCAGCAAAATATACTTTCTAACATTACAAAAATCAGTCCGTGAGTGTTTTGCAGATACAAACTAAGCTAGCTTTTTCTAAATGAAAACAAATGTAGTCTATTAAAATGTAGAACTGTGGAATATTAAAATATCCTATGTTTTAGGGGTCTCCTGCCTTCTAATCAGTTGCAAATTCAAATGTTACTAGGTCTCTCATCTTTATTTTCTATTTCATTATGATATACTTTGAAAGAATGTAACAAATAGATGGCACAGATAAATCAGGTACAAGTACTGAAATGCAGGCAAGAAAAACTACGGTGTGACAAAGAATTTATTGGAAACATTCCTCTGACAACTATAAAACATGTATATAATATGTATTTGTATACAACTTCTAATAAAACAAAAGAAGTTTTGGGAGTGTGGCTTGAGGCTCATGATTTAATTGGAGTAACTGCCGGAATCCTGACACCTGCACTACAATCTTATACATGAAAGAGTGCCACATTCAAAATTTGGATGTTAGCATTCATATGTTAATTTGCTATATAATTTATAGCACTAATATAGTACATTATTTACTATCTGTAAGTTTCTATATCTACAGTATAAACAACTATGTCAACCAAGTTTTTTTAGCTTAAAATTCAATACGGAGATCGAATGTAAGTTTTCTACTATTTCAATTTTAGGTTTAATTTATTCCTATGGGACAGAAGACCAATTTTATGGTAGAGGACATTTTACTATCTCATTCACCTTATTTTATTATAATCTAACTATCTTTTGAAGTAATGTGTTTAGCAACTTGTGTTTAGAATACCATATTGTCTAACCAAGGCCCTCGTTTTCCCAGAAGACAATGAGACTGGCATTTCTTGGAGATGCTCAGTTCAATTAATTCTTCAGGCTGCCATCATGCAAGTTGCTTTATAAAATGAAATTATACATAATGGAAACCTAAAAGAAGTGTCAATACATCAGCACTAGGTTTTCCTGGACAGCACCCCATACAGACTACGAACTAAAGTTTTCTTTGGGTCAACCTTGACTCCTGCTGACTGCATGAACATGTCAGTGACCTTGCAATTTTTATAACAACAATAGAAAAGTGATTGGCCACTATCTTTTTTAAGGGTTAAAATAAATTCCAGTCTAATCTCACTGGAGTCATTCAAGGATCAACCAAGGCCTGACGTTTTGATCTAAGACAAGATTAGCATAGAAGTGTAAATATTATATGCCACATAATAGGCTGTGTGCAACTACATATATCACAACATGGAAAAGATGCTACTGCAATTTTAATAAGAGGCCAAACTTTAAAAAACTTGGGTTTAAAACAATACATTTCATTATTTAATTGATAAAATTAAATAATTGGAGCTGTAACATATTAAGGACACATTCAGTCCATGAAGATATCTATTACACCTTTATATATTAATTTAATGCTTCTACAGCATTAAATATTCAGGACATATTCAGGATTTTAGGATAAATGCATCCCTGTTTTCAAAGTGCAACCAGAAAGAAAGACAGAAGAAAACCAAAACTATCAAGGTTTAAATGCACAAAGATGAGAAGCTTCAGTATCTAAAGTTCAACTGTAAGGATTTTAGATAAGAAAAGTGGTAAAAATGAAGGTTCTGGTTTAATATGAAAAACCTATTTTTTATATTGCATCTTCACTGTTATCCAGATTGTTATGACTACATATGAAAGGAGGAATGGGTGATAGTTGTACGTTATACTTCAGAACTGGCTGGAAATTATACAAATATGTCAACTTTTTGGGCCCCAGGGACCAATTCCGTGGAGGGCAATTTTGCCATGATCCATGGGGTGTGGTTTGTCATGCTGCCTGGATCTTGCGCATGCATGGATGGGGTTTCGCTCACTTGCACAACCAGTTCTTAGTGGGCTGTAGACCGTTGACAGTCTGCGGCCCAGGGATTGGGGACCCTATGTCAAAGAGTACAACTGAATCAAAAAACATAAAATATTTGTGTCCCAGAAAAAAAAAATGAGAAGGAAGTTATTAACGCTATGACAAAGTTGAATCATTGTAAGGCTGGATAAATTAACAGGTGAAATACTAAACTATGGGTATGTACAGCTTATGAAACAGCTATGTGATATTTGCTGTGCATGTGAGGCAGCTATATATTTGACAACAGAAAGGATGATGTTAAAGTTCCCTTATGGAGTATAAAGACATAGGTAAGAAGAATAAATGCAAAAGTAGCAGAGAATTAGTTTGTTAAGTATACCTGGAAATAACATAATAATATAATAATAGTTGCAAAGTTCTAATTGAAGACTCCAAGAAATATCAATGAACAAAATTTGGGAAATACAGTTTGGCTTTATGTCAGGTCAGGTTTTTGCTTATCACCAGATCATATATAAATGTGAGGGAAATAACTTATTGATAAGATAAATAGATCTGAATTATGGAATGTTTTGCATGAATATGGAGATGAAGATTGATTGTTGAACGTAATAATGGCAATGTACGATGAAATAAAGCAATTCCCGATAATAAATGAAATGATTGGTGGATGGTTCAGCTCTAAGCAGAGAACAAAGACAAGGATGATATTGCCTTGGTTGTTTTTATATAGCTCAAGATAGTGTGCTGCCTGTTCTAACATGTGGCAGCGAAACATGGACACTAATTTCACAATCAATACGAAATCTACAAATGGTGCAAAGAGCCATAGGAAAATACATGCTTGGCACCACAAGAAAAGGTAGAAATCCTGCACATGGATTAAAGAACAAAGGGAAATATACGATGTCCTCAAAAGAGTAAAAGAATTGAAGTGGAAATGGGCTGGTCACATAGCAAGAAGCAAGTGGACTAAGGCAGTCATAGAATGGATTCCAGTTGATAAAAAGCATCCACAAAAGAGTTCTAAAACAAGATGGAGTGATGACATCAGCAAACATCATGGGCCCAACTGACAAAGGAAAGCTCAAGACCGTATTGGTTGGAAACATCCGGAAGAGGCCTTCGTCCTGCCATGGATAGACAATAGCTAGAATGATGATGATGATGATGATAGATCAAGATGTCAGAGATACCTGTATCCTTTTGTAAACAGACCATACCAAGATGTTTGCTAAGAACACGAATGACTTACAACATATCACAGATTGCATGTTGCAATATGGACCGATGTATTATTGGTTGACAGGTTTGAGAAAACAGAGAGAATGAATGACTGCAACATAAACAGCAATAAGTTAGAGTAAATACATGCAATTGTGTACCTCGGCAGAATGTTTAAGCAGGGCAGGAATGGCTTGAGAAATTTTAGGAGGCTTATATGGTGGCAGAAAGACAATCCATCCTATGTAATCTGCTGTGAGGAATGTTTTTTTTAAAAAAAACCAAAGCAGTTTGTTTCTACCCATTTTCTTATACAAAAACGAGAGTTGGGTAGTCAAGAGAAACAAACCCTGAATATAACGGAAATGCAGTAAGAACAGGAAGAAAAAGTATATCTGGCAAAATGAGTAAATTATACCTAAATGGGCACCAAATAAATGAGAAATGAATACAGGAACTCATGACTGGTATGAGGTGGTTATAGAAAGATGAATCCTGATTGAATTGCCGATTAAATATATTAAGTGTGGGGGGAGGAAAGCTGTGGTAGATGGGAGCAGATACAATCCTGAAAATGTGAAAGATAAGAAGTTTAAAGAACAAAAGGCGAGCTAGGCAGCAGAGAGAAATCGGGGGTGAATCTGGTTTAGCTACTGCATAGTTTCTTCTTTTTTCTCATCTGGTGCCTTCGTTTCTTCAGCTTTTAGTTGCTTCACGGTCCTTTTGTACAACGTTGTCTATCCTGAAAGCGGCAGGGAGATTGTGTACCTTCTGGATGCGCCTGAAACACGGAACCCTAAATTAAGTCGGATTCACACAATCGCCCGGGCTAACCTACGGGCTGTAGTTCGATAAGCTCGGGAAATAAGGCGAGCTTTCTCCTCCGAGGCGTCTGCAAGCAGCAATGACAGGCGCTCCCTCGGAAGGGGACGAGGCTGCCGGGCGGAAAAGGGACGGCGGACCTCGTCAGAGACCCACCGGAGCGAAGGGAGCCCCTTCCCCCGCCCCGGCCGAGGCCCAAGCCCATCGCGGACTTACCTGGTTGAGCTCATTCTCGGCCGCGAGGCGCAGCTTGGGGTCGATGGTGCCTTTGAGCGCCTGGATAATTCGGTTGGGATCCATGATCTCTCAGCGCCTCAGCGGGAAGGACAGCGGCCGCCGCACAAGCTCGCCCGCTCCCTCCTTCCCCCACTTGGGCTACACAGGAGCCATTCACCGGTTTACGACAGCCGAACTGTCGCGAAGACGAAACTTTGCGGCTTCAGCGCGCCCACCCACCCCCTCCAGTTCGCCGTTCTCGCGGCGCCCATAAGTCGGGCGCCATGTTGCTGTACGGAAAGAAATTGGTTGCCCGGTGCGGGGACTGGTCGCTGCGGAAATTGTAGTTCCCTGCAGGGAAACCGGAGGCTCAGGCTTTCTCGTCTCGTCTTTTCCTATAATTCTCGACTTACAACACTTCATTTATTGACCGTTCAGTTACAAAGACACTGAAAAAAGGGACTTAGGACCGTTTTTTCACACTTATCTTTGTAGCATCCCCATGATCTTGTGATCAAAATTCAGATACCTGGCAACCTGACTCATGCTTAGGACGGTCACTGTCCCAAGGTCATATGATCACCTTTTGCCAAGCAAAATCAGTGGGGGAAGCCAGATTCACTTAACAACTCAGCTACCAGCTGCGGTGATTCACATAACTGTGGCAGGAAAGGTCATAAAATGGGGCAAAACTTAATGTCTCACTTAACAGAAATTTGGCGCTCAATTGTAGTCATAAATCAAGGACTACCTGTATATTTTTTATCAGATTAGAAAAATGGGGTGGGGGACAAAAACTGCTTCTGGAGAAAAACTGCTTACGGAACCCTCTTATAGCCTGCCTGGGAATTTCTCCCACTGGCTGTTTAAAGCAGTAGTCACTAACTGGTGGGCTGCAGCCCACTAGTGGGCCGTGAGAAAATTTTGGTGGGCTGCAGAGAAATCTTACCCCCAGAGCACACACACACACACACACACCCATGCAATTAATCCAGGCTGTGGAGAAACACAAGGCTGTGCTGCCCACACGGCCTGTGGGAACCCTCCCTGCCTACTCACTCCTTACCAGGCAAACTTGCCTACTAAATTGCTATTTTTCTGACCATCATCTGTTCTGCTGAGCCTGGAGATTTAGATTAGCTAGAAAGCAGGAAATGGTTGGGTTTCTTGCTTTCAAGCTAGTCTTTTAGATCTTTGGCTCTGCTTTTACGCATAGCCAAACCTCCCTTAGGACTGAAGTTTCTATTATTCAGTGCAGACTTGCCACAAGCAAATTTTATCTGAGCTAGCTGATGGCAGGTAGATGGATCACTGAATGATTCTGTGAGCAACTCAATCTGCCTGCCTACTTTGGCTGATTTTGGATAAAAGTTGCTTTTTATTAAAAAAAAATTCAATATTTATATAAATATTTATAATTTACATACAAGCCATGCCCAGCCAGTCACATGACCACCAAGCCACACCCACAAATTAAACCACACCCACAAATTAGGCCACACCCACAGAACAGGTCAGTGGTCCCTGGGATTTAAAACTGAGTTTGGTGGTCCCTGAGATCCAAAAAGTTGGTGACCCCTGGTTTAAAAGATGTGAATATTCCAATTTTATTCCAATGAATGATAATTAGATGTTTGTTTTTTGATGGAGAAGGTTCTGTAAGTTTGCTTAATGGAATTCCACTTCATTTCTTTGTGTGGCCCTCCTGAGCTCCATTTTCGCTAACAGGCAGTTGCAGGAGGCCATCGCAGCTGAAAATGGAGCTCGGGAACCCATTTTCGCTGGCAGAGTGCTTGGGCCATCACAGGCACCCAACACGAGTGACATCATGCTGGCCATGCCCACTCCTGCCCCGAGATCAAACACAACCCCAATGAAATCGAGTTTGACACCCCTGCTACAGAGATCTCAGGAAGCCTCTTTATGCTCAACATATGCACATATCATTCAGCTAAAAAGTATTTGGCCCTTTGGATGTTTTCAATCTTTTTAGCTTGGATCAAGTTTGACTCAGTTTAGCTTGTATCAGAGCTACAGATCCTACTGATATATAATCTAAATGAACAAAGAACATCAAAGTTTCATGCTTGTTTTCTTTATTTCATAAACAAATCAACCAATATGTAACAGTATGAGAAAATCATGACATTAATTAAAAGGGCATAATTATGGCTAATGATCAGGGCTCCACATCGCTGATGTTCACACCAAAGAAATTCTAAGGCACATCTCTCTCACCTCAGAAGAAATTTCTGAAGGCATCTGCAAAACATCGACAATACCCATTTGCCAGAAAGGCTACAAAACCATTCTAGTCCTCTGAAGCTTCACCAGGGACAATCTTATAAATAAAATCAATTGAGAAAATTATAAATCTTCAACAACAACAAAAGTGGCTCATCACTTTTAAGAATATATGATAGAACTGGCTAGGAAGTCACAAAGAACCCTAGAATGTCATTCAAGGATCTGGGCAAATTTTGACAGTACCATTAGAAAAGCACTGTATAAAACAGAGTAGTGAGAAAGCTCAGGGGTGGGATTCTACTGGTTTGCACCTATTCGCTAGAACTGGTTGTTAACATTCTAAGCAGTTTGGAGAACCAGTTGTTAGAAGCAATTACTGGCCTAATCCTGTAAGGAAGGCAGGAAGGAAACATTCTGGTGTTGCTTACAGAAACTGCCTCTCCGTTAACCCTTATTACATTCTTGGCAGGACTAAACTTCCTGTCTCAGGAACGTCTCTGGAGTTTTTTTCCCTTCCTTTGCTGGTACTTTGCTTGTGTGGAGTGACCATTCAAAGTTACAACGGCACTGAAAAAAGTGACCTATGACCGTTTTTCACACGACTGTTGCAGCATCCCCACAGTCATGAGGCCAAGCGAGGAAATGTGTGCCTCGATGTGAGTGATGTCAAGTTGGCCACACCCAGCTAATAACATGACCACCAAGCCACATCTACCACCTAAGCCACGCCCACAGAACTGGTTGTTAAAAAATTTCAATCCCGCCCCTGAAGAAGCCATACATATTTAAATTTTGCCAAACAGCTTGATGAATCTCCAGACTCCTGGAAAAAGGTTCTATGGGCAAATAAATCAAAGGTGGAACTTTCCAAGTCACGCAGATTCAGTTAGGACTGGTGGAAGCCAAACACTGCATTCCACAATAAGAACCTCATATTGATTATCAAACACAGAAATAGGTACTGTCATAGTTTGGAGATACTTTGCTGCTTTAACCTCTGGATGACTTGGTATATTGAATAAAGCATGAATTCTACTTTTAATAATCCCTCAGAACAGTATCAGGCCATCTTTCTGACAGCTAAAGTTGAGGTGAAGTGGGTCATGCAGCAACAGAACGATCCCAAACATACAAGCAAATCTGCAAGAGAATGGATAAAGAAAAAAAAAACTCAGTGTTCTTGAGTTGCTAAATCAAAGTTCCAGGCCTAAATGCCATTGAATTGCAACAGTTCCACTAAAAAATCCTAAAATTCTACCGAATTAAAACAGTACACCATGGAGGAATTGGCCAATATTCCCACACAGCAATATAGGAGGTTGATCTCCAATTACAGGAGGCCATTTGTTTAAAACATTATCACAGCTAAATGTGATGCAACAAGTTAAAGGAAGACAACTACATTTTCAGTGACGGGCTGCAGATTGAATGACTTTAAACAGCAAATAAAACAAGTACTTAACTTTTAAATTTCGTAATTCACTTTCTGTTTATCAGATGGATCCACATGGAGCCCTGATCACATTCAATTGCAAAGGAAAGCAAACATTCAGAACATCCAAAAGGGGCCAGATACATTTCCATACAACTATAATTCAGAAATAACTTTTGTGGATTTGCTAGTTGCAAATGAAATAATCCACAAGATTTTATCAATAGGATTGCTAATAACAGAAAACTGTTTGCAAGAAAAGTTACTGTACAAAAAAAAACCCATTTAAAAAAACTGCATAGTAAATAGGCAAGTTTCAGATGTTTCTTTTTACTCAAATATAGCTTCATTAACTTGTTCATTTTTTTTTAAAGGGTAACACACAAAGCAAGTTTAAAATGTTTTATTACCTCATCAATATTGAGATGTTTGCAAGCTTTTCAATACCGCACACATTCACAAAAAGATCTGGAGGTGCCTTCAGGACATAGGCCAACTGAATCCTTTGATGAAGAGAGAGAAAAGGCTAGAGCTTGTGATGGAAGCTTCACAAATAATCTAGCTAACATAATTGTCATTTGGAAAAATAGGAGGGCCTTTTAGAATTTATAAAATGCTGAGTCAAATTAAATGTGAACTTTAAAAAAAAGAGAGAGAGAGAGAGAGAGAGAGAGAGAGAGAGAGAAGCACTTTCTAGATGATTAGTAGTTGTTCTTATACACCAATACCAGGAATGTAAAATAGAACAGAGCCCAAGTTGTAGAGAAAAGTTGGAAAACGCAGAGGAGAATTTACCAT